CCTCATATGCTTGATTCTCTTCGGTTTTTTGCTGTCCTCATTCAATTTTTCTACTTATTTTATATTTCCTCTTTAATTATTACTTGCAGCCAAACTCATTAGATTTTTATTTCTAATTTCTTCATTTTTCTCTGACTTCTTCTTTCGATTTTGTACTCGTCTTCATTTTGTCTTTCTTTTTCTTCCAATTTCTTGTTTTCCTCATGTTTTCACTATTTTTCTTCATTTTCTTTCTCTTTTTCTTTCAATTTCTTTGTTTCTTCTTTTAGTTTCTTACATAAAAGAGTTTTCAAATCTTTTACAAATATAACTACGAATATCCGATTCTTTGGGTCTTAAAAAAATATCTATTAGTATATATAGTTGTCTTTTGTATAGACCAGAAGAACAAAGAAAGTTTCAAAAACTCACTTGAGAATATCAGTTATAATTTGTAAAGATATGCCTTTATAGGAGCCACTATTTCAGTTTGAATCTTTGGAAGCAACAACCATATGAAAAGAGAGTTCTGCGTATTTTGAAATTCAAGTTTTGGTTAAATCACGAGTGCTTCGAATACATATTATGTGTCCTTAAAATTTCCAATTTTCAATCAAAATCTAGGAAAAACATAATTTCTAATTTAAAGTTGTGATATTGTATAGTTGGATCTTCTTCATCAACCTATTATGATCTTAAAATGTAATACTTCTAGGAAAAACATGAATCCAAACAAAAAAATTATTTCTTCCAAATTTTATTTTTTTATTCTTTTCATCGTTTTCGTCTTTGTTATTTTATCCGACTTTTTATTTTATTTTGTCTCTTACTCGTCGTTGAGCTCCTCTTCGGTTTCTTCTTTACTTTTCCTTCTTATTTTTTACTTATTCTTATATTTTTCTACTTATTATAGTATTGTTACTTGCACTCAAAGTTCCTATATATTTTGCTTTTGTAGTTTCTTCGTTCTTTTTTTGATTTTTTTTTCGCAGTTTTATCTTTGTCTTCTCTTCCATCTTCTTCTAGTTTTTTCCTTCCTTTTCTTTTCCTTATTCTTCTTCATCGTTTTCGTCTTATATCTGCAAAAGAGAAGAAAATATAATTACTAAAAGTTAGCTTTTAGATAATGAATGAACAAGAAATCATCGTTTATTAAATTACTATTGGATGCTAAATTATGAACTTGCCAATGAGAAACTCGATCTCAAGTTCGCTAAGACAACATCATCAAAATTCGAGGAGAACACATCAAACGTGTAAAATGTTTTGGGTAGTAAAAATGTACTTAAAGAATTTTGAACTGTGTTAACACCAAGAAGCATTACCCATCGCTGAGTTGCCACTCCTGAGATACTTCCTCAGTTCCTTGATCTTCTTCTTCTTTTTACAACCAGCTTGGGACTCTTATACGTATTGTACACCATCATTGTGCTTTGTGGTGACAGTGACCTTCTCTGCAACAAGATAAGCTAGTAGAAATTGTCACCAAGTTGACCAATCATACTCACATCAGCTCCAGCTTGGAGTGCTTCCATAAACTCTTTGGTTCCAGACCTCGCAATGGTTCCCAAATTGTTCACCATATATGCTTTGGTCAAGATGATGCCACTCAATAATACGAATTGAACACATAAATTATGTAACATCACAAGCTGCAAGAGATATTTATCGATTCAGTAATCAAATATGCAGCTTAACCATACGAACAAAACTACCTCATGTAGCTTGTGTCATCTCTCTTACTCTCCCTAAGCGATTCTGCAATTTACAAAGAAAAGAAAAAAAATCATATTGGAATTTATAAAATGAGCAACAAGAAAACTAATATCAACCTTCTGAGGAAGCAGCAATAGTCAATAACTCTAAAAAGTATTAAACTTGTTAAGCACATCCATGAAAGATACCAGAGGCTACCAACTTATAACTAAGAGAGACGAAAATGGAATTAAGATCCTCAAATTCTCCTCTACCAACTAAGAGCGAATAAGAGCAGCACCTGGGCAATGCTTAGTTTCAATTATGTTTGACATTGCAATAATTGCGGTGGCCCAACCAAAAAAGAAAACAGAATTTTTAGATATGCAAATGCCAATTTTTGAACCCCTTGTCTTGTTGTCTCCTCGACTACTTGAATTGAAGGTCAATGGTGGTACTAGTCTTGAGTTTTAGATCTCCCTTGCCATGGGTGTTCCTCGTCGAGCTCTTCTTAAGTTCTCTTCTAGACCGAACTGTCTATCAAATCTCTCTCTGCTCGATGGTTAAGGACGGGTTGTTTGGGAGAGATTGGATTGGTTTGTTATCTGAAGACTCTGGTTTTTGGGCTTTGATGTGCGCTGCTTGTGGGTTTGTGTAAGTGATGGTTAGGTCTCGGATCTGTAGCTCATCGACGGCTGTCAGTTTTGTAGCCTTATGTCGTCTCTTCTCCAACTTCGTGTTGTTGCTCAATTGTAGAGGCCTTGCGCATTGACATGGCTGGGAGTTTTTGCTCTAGTTTTTGGTTTGCCTCTTCGATTCGGGTGGCTAAGTACCTCTGTTAAGTTTCTCTGGACTTGATAAGGGTTC